TTCCCAGTTATCAGTCACAGACCTCTTCAAAATTATCCATAGGGTTTTACAGGTCACGGGCTGAAAGTGAGTGGTCTAGAGAACTGGGATTAAGTGATCTGGGTTCTCATCATGGAAATTAGGTATCTGAATGTCTTTGGAAGACTTGGCACCAGGCATCAACTGGAGAGAGAACACGCACAGGGGCAGCTGTTGCAGAGTAGTGGGAGAACTGTAGGTTTCCGTCCTTGCTTGGCTTGTAACTTTTCTGTGCCCTGAGAAAATAACCTTTGCTCTATTCACGTAATGTGAATTTATAGGACAGATTTTTTTCATCTTTCTTTTTAATGCAAGAATTTCAACAGCAACATATATAGAGTTTTATTCTAATACAAAAAGAGGGTTTTTTTTCCCTCTTATTCTAATCTCAGACCTAATTTCTTGCTCCAAAGTACAGTGTAAAATCTACTCACCTGCATCTTTCAATGCTGTAATGAACAATGCCATGACCTGTAGCCGTTCTGTCTTCTCAGTGAACAGCAAAGTCAGGTCTGTAATTCTTCCAGCTGCAGCAATTGGCTTTTCCTTAATGGCTAAATTACTCCCTTTAGTTAGGCTGGTCAGGTAGAAAGCTGATAGTTCAGACATTATAAGACTAAGGCATTAGCACATTAAAGACAGTACCCCGTGGCCTTCTACAGGGCTCACTTTCTACCTAGAATGATTTTCTACTTGGCAGTTGGCCTGGCTAAGTCAGATAAAAGATTTACATTTCCTTGAGCTCTATCTGGCTGTGTTGCTTCCTTAACTATGCTGCAACATGTGTTTAATATAACTCGCTTGATATTTAAACTTGCCTGGCTTTGAGCTGTGGGCTGTAGGGTAGGTGAGGGCATCTCTCTGCATCCCTCCTGGAGGCCATGTGCAGAAGAGCAAGCAGTGCTCACAAGCAGCCAAAATTACTGAGACCTGGCCACCTCATCGGCCATGTCCTTGGGTGGTCCATCTTGTGTTGTCAGGCCATCTGGGCTGAGAACCTCTCCTGCCTCTCATCTGCCCCTCAGCCTCTCCCATGCTCTGACCAACATGACTCCAGGGCACAGGATTTGCAAGAGGTACAGGAGAGCCCACCTACACCATTGTTTCAGCATTAGCCCCTCCCCAGTAGCGATTAACTACTGAATACTGAGGCAAACATCATGTCAAGAAATCACTTTTACATATGGTCTTGCTGTTCTTTATAGCTATGGACTTCAAGATCATGTGCCAGTGTTTGTGAACCTGCCCCTTGACTCACCCCCCTTCCCCAGCCCAAAAAAAAACACACCACAGCATCCATTCAGGCAAGAATAGACATCTTCAGTAATGGGGAGAGTGTCTCTCTGGATGAAATAATGCATCACAGAGTGAAACCCCAGAGGATACCATGTGCCAGCACGTCAAAGCTGCACACACCATTGGGTTTGCTTGTTCTCTGCTTCACAGAACCTGGTTTATGTCAGCTTTACTAAACCATATTTCATCAAACCCAGGTTTAAGAAGTGAACTACAAAACGCTTCATCAAAAGCACTAAAAACAGTCAGTGGAGTGAGGCTGTGAGTCAACCGGCAGATTTTGAGGCCTTCCGGAGCTCTCCAGGGGTCTTCCTTGGTGCTCTGCCTCCTTTCATAGGAGACTGGTTCCAGGATGGGGTCATTCATTGACACTGCGTTTCTCAAGGCATTAGCCTGGACCAGGACCAGCCCATGCTAAAAGAAAGAACAGCTGCTTCTTGGATTGAGGATCCCAGTTTTGTTTGCATGGAGTTTTAACTAAATTTGTAGGCCACATTTCAAAGGAACCTTAATCTCTTCTAAAAAAGTTTTTAAAAAAAGTTATGAAGATGGTTAAGATGGTCATGGACATAAATTTTGTGGGAAAGGGGCAAGAGAGAGGCATGAAAAGCTGGAGAAGGGGACTGGTAAAGACAGGCAGAAGCAGCACAGTGGAGTGGTGGAGGGAAGGCAGAGCGTCCCATCAAGGCAACGGCTCCTGGGAGTTTGATGGGATGGCACAACAGCACAGGAATCTGCCAGCTGCAAATGCAACATCACCATGTCAGTATGCTGCTGCAATGAACTAGGTCATCTCCTCTTCTAGATCCATGATTCTGCCTGTGCAGAGTGCTCTTTTGGGGATTTTGTGATAAAGAGCAGAAAAATAGCATAAGAGCTTTTGTTCTAGGAGAATGCCAAGGGAAACAGCTTTTGTAAAGAGCAGGCACTCAGGCTGCTGCTTGAATTCCCTCTTGCTCAGCAGTTTTATTTTGCCTTCCCTGAGCACAGCTGAGACTCTGTGCTTGACTTGGGCAAACCCGTTCCAGCACCCGTCTGTCAGGGAGACTCCACACAGCTTGGGGTGCAACAGGTTTACAGCAAAGCCCAAGCTTCATGCACTCCTGTGGGGGAGAGCAGTACCCGAAATACTAAACCAGCGCTCCCTCTGCCAGTGTCAAAAGAAAAGCTTCTTCAGGGTAAAGTAAGTATCTTATCCTCACATCTTCTCCCTCCCTTTGTTTCCTTACAGAGCTCCTAGCTGGGCTCTGCCCAGAAAATTCTGCTGCACACTTAAATGATACAGAAAATCTCATTTTGGGCATAAGCTTTCTGACCACTGCCGCTTTCACAGCGTAGTTTTGTTTTCTTTCTCTGCCATTGACATCAGGCTGGGCAGCACTTCAGAGGGTGGAAGGAAAACAGAGCAGACAGGTGGCAGATTTTGGAGGAATGAGGCCGCGGGCCAGTGGAGACATGAGGATTAAAATATTAAATTTTCGTTCAGTTGTTCTGTCTTCCTTATTTGACAGCCTTCTTAAATCATTGCTATCGTATAGTCTGTGTTGTCCTGGAAAGTGCCCTGACTGCTTTCACTGCTCTGCCAGAGGCTGATTAGAGTCTACAGTTAATTTGGGGATAAGTGCTTGTGGAATAAAAAGACAAAACAAAACATAAAAATTGTTAAGCCTGTCTGAGGATAATAAAGCAACTAAAACTGTCTTGTAAAAATAAGGTAAAGGAATACCAGATGGCAGATTTACACTTGTATGCTGGTGCTGAGCATTACCTCAAAAAGGGTCTCGTGATGGAATTGGGTTTTTTATGTTACAATAATTAACTGAATGTGTCTTGTAATGAAAAAATCCAGCAGGAGACATAGAAAGTTACAATTAAACATTCTCTTTATTGGGGCCTTGCTCTGAAACGGCACAAGTGATAAATGCACACAGTGCCCATCAGTGCTGCTAATGAAAAGACTCACAGTCACGTTTTATACTTTTATTTGGATTTAGATCAACACCACAGATAAGATACTTTGGTCAAACACAAGAACAGGTTGCTATGCCGGTCCTTCCTGGCTGCAGTAAGTACAGTAATGTGAAAAAAAACCAAAATGCTGGTTCTCCTGGAACACCGAATGTCAATCTTGGATTGGCACATACAGCTAATAAATATGTTGTTTGCACTTAGCACTTTAAAACGGAATTGCACATGCAAGATGTAACCAGGCTACTGATTACTTCATCATTGTACCTGTACCATTTTTACTTTTTAAGCTCTTTGCTCGCCTTTTTGTCCACGAGAACGAAGAACAGAATTTGCTGCTCTACTCAGTATTTACAGCCATTAGTCTGCTGGTCTTGACACATTTAGCAAAGGTCACATCGAAGTCCTTCCTGATAGAATTGGTATCTCGTTCATAGCTTGGCTTGCAACACTATGCATCATAGGTAGCAATGGAAACCCACCGAAATGAGGCGAGAGCTCTGCCCAAAAGCTGAGGAGGAGACGTTAATACCAAGCAAAGATACACAGTAGAGGGACCAGCGTGAATGCAGTTCTTACAATATCAAGAGTCAATACTACTACCACACAAATAATGACATATCAATAATATATTGTACAAGCTTATACAGCAACACGTTGATTTGCAACATTGTACAGTTTAAATCTAAAGTGCACAGCCTCAATCTGAGGTGACGAAACAGTACTATCAATATAATAAAGGCAACACAATTACAGACACAATTTATTTCCTCTTACTTCATGTCCTCATGATCTTACATTGAATCAGTACTCCATTTATCTATTTTAGATTAAATTAAAATCACATTGCACTTTTTTTTTCCTCTTCAAGTATTTTAGAGACAGAAAAACAATATTGCTTTACAAATAAGAGTTGGCTGTTCAGGCAAAGTTAAAACCAAAACTTTAGTAGGGTTATAAGTAGGCAGGCTTGAGCTGCAGAACTCTTACCAACACTTCCAGATGTTGAGGGGAAAGATGATAAATTTCAGTTTCCATGCCATAGTCACCTCTAATATTAAGGAATGACGCAGCACATGAATTCTGCACGAGCTGTGCCCATGGTTTCTAAAAACGCCTGCGTGGACTGTTTTAGCCAGCTGTAGCCTTATCTCTGTTTTTTTTCCTGCAATTTTCAAAGCTGTTGCAGACAAGGATGGAGTCCAGCACTGAGAGAAAGTAGTTGGTTACTTAGACTCCATCCTTGCCACTCAGATTACAGTCACATTTTAATTTAGGCCTTGTCCTGCAGCCCTGTACAGCTGTAAGGAGTTTTTACCCTCTTAATGCAGCTGTGAGGTTTCATGCTATTTTGTTAGTAAGAATTTCAGTCAATTTTAATTTTCAGTGTAGTTTTGGACTGCTCACAGAAGAAACGGTTATGAGATAAAGAGTTTTTTCAGACATATGACTTATTTTTGGATAGGCTTTTTACCACAGAACACAGAAAACATCCAAATACAACCTTATGTCAGTCTTGGTTAGCACTGTATACTGATTGTGCGTCTGCTTAGTTAGGCCAAGTGGGAAACATAATTAGGAATAATAGCATCCTATTGTACTGTAATTGATGTTATTAAGTGGTTTTAAGAGCTGCAGTACTCTTGAGGTTTTTCAGTAATCGACCCTGGAGATGTACAATCCACATGACATGGAGAAATGAGGTATTGGTACCTCTTAAGAATGTAGTATGTGGGCTTATATTTTAAAACAAGCAGTAATAAGTATTTGAGGCACCTCCATCAAAAGAAAAAGAATCCTAGTTAATTTTCAGCATCTGTCCTTACAGTTTTATAACCCATATAAAATTAAAATATATAGTTTACAAAATAGGATTTTTTTTTAATATATATATATTTCCTTTTGTAAAACTATACCTATTTAAATACATTTGAAATGTTGCTATAGGTAAATTAGAAATTCTGTTCTAATACTACGAAAAAGGCAAAATACTTTCACTTTTAAACATACAGCTTGTATACTTTGCTTCTCACCGCCCCCTCCCACTTCCCCTAATTGATTTTGTCATCATTTTGGGCAAATTTGGCATCAATTAGTCTGATTGCTTTCAATTTAAAGTAGTCACTGTGTTAAAATTGGGGATAAAATTTTAAATATCTTCTGTTCTTTCTTATTTGTTTCAATGCAGCTTTTTGTGCAGCTAATTATTAAGGAGGTATTCTAAAACTCAGGAAAGGACTTTAAAGGAGCCATATTTCTTGATTTTAAACTGTACTCTACTCCAACGCCACAATATAGAAATAGATTTACTTTGGAACAAACTACAAATACATTCGCACAGTTTGTGACAACTTAATTGTCTACGTAGAGGTCCAAGAACAGACTTTCACACCCAATTATTATAAATCTTGTCCCAGGCGTTCTATTTCATCAATCAGGAAATCAATGTCTTGGTGAGTTGCTGCAGGGTTTGAGATGACCATCCGGAAGAAGTTCACTTTGTCTCCCAGGGGCTGATAGCTCACCATGGTCGTTCCATACTCCATCATCCTGGCTTTTATCACTGGAGCCACCTGCAATGTAACAAAAAGCAGGGGATGATGATTATTCTTCTTATTATTATCATTATAATCATTACCATTATTTTAATTATTTTCATTACTACCATCATCCTTATTATTGTAACAAAACACAGAGTATGTTTTCTTTTTTAAAAAAAGATGAAGAGCTACAAGCAGCAGTTAAAATGAAATTACAGCTGATATTGATAAAAATGTTAAACTCCATTAAGGAATAAATGCATCATTGAAAAGACATTGGGTTTATCCTCTTTCTTTGTCCTGCTCTTAAAATCAATGGGGAATTTTCTCCCCCTACTTTCTCAATATTGCCAAAAGTCACATGGAAGCTGGTTTTTGTAGTGCTCAAAACATATGGTTACAATGGTTTTCCATCTTCTTTTTGTATACCAGGGTGCCATGGTATTATCAAGCTATTGTTGCACTTCCTGGGTTTAGCAATTGCAGTCTACAGTAACTTCAGTAAATATACAGCGAGTTCAAATAAGTACTCTAGAGACCAGGCAAACCCAGGGAATACCAAACCTGGAGACCAGAGTAACGTGGTGCCAGCCTAACCTGCAGTAAAATCACGACGGAGGTGTCATCTGCCAGAATATCGCGAGGTGACGTTGCCATGATGTTCTGGAGAATGCTGCTTACCTTCATAAGGCGGCTCATTCTTTCTTCGTTGTCTTCCATACTGCGCAAGCTGGGAGGTATATACCAGAAGCAGACATTTGTGTGCTGAGGCTGAACACAGAAAAATAATGATTTGCACTGCAAGAAATGCTCATAATATCTTAGCTGCAATTAAGTTCACGCCTTTCTTCCCTCCCATACATCATATTGTGACAGCAGTCAATGGTTTTCATTATTGTGGTCCACTGAGAGTCATCATCATTATTAATGCAGAAAAAAATAATTTTAGGCAATTTATTTGCAGGATGTCAGATGCAGAAACACATCATCCAGCTGTGCAGACAGATTTATCGCCTATTGAGCAGCATCTAGATTTTTCAGGTGCTGTCCCCTCCAGAGGCTGAAGGGATTGTGTGGCTAAGGCAAGAGTCTATTATAGATAATTTAGAGGTGAGGACCATGTCATTTACTTTTATTACATGCCAGAATAATACAAAATCTGGTTCTGTAAACAGGAGTCACAGGTGGTACATAAGGCAGCCTAAGATTTTCTTACATTTAATGAAATTTATTGCTTCTCAGTTTGATTCAGCTAGCTGCCGTGTTAATATGCAACCACAGTCTCTTAGCTAGTTTAACTTGTACGGCAGCACCAAGTAGAAAGGCATAAAGTAAGAATCAGTTGACATTTTGAGTATTTTTACATCTCCCAACAGCTGCCTGACTTGCTATGTTCCTCTTTGCTGGATGCTAAATGTGTGAGTTACAGCAATTCCTACTGCTGCCGGTTCCTTTACTCATCATCAGACCCAATGGACCAAATTCAGTGATGATGTGTGAGGTGCAGGAACTAAATCACATAGCAGCATGTGGGTATGAGCCTGTGATCTCTGTTCGAAGGAACATGCTGACGTTTATCCTTGTGCTGCAGAGCACTTAGGCATGCACTAAAGTGATTGCTAACAGGGAGCGACATTCTGAGAAACAAAATCTTCCCGGGCAAGTACAGAGAGCAAAAACCATCACAAGTAGGAGAGAAAAAGCTAAAATGAGATTTTTTTTTTTCCACTCTTCAACAGGTGAAACACCAGTTAACTTTGTAACAGAGGTTGCCACCAAGCTTGTCTCCAGCTATCACAGCTGGAGAGGATTACCCACAAAGAGATGGCTGAACACCAGACTGTCCGGCGCAGTTCGGAGGTACAGCCACGCAACCCAGGGGTCCTGTCTGACCTGGACTCCCTCAACAGAAACAACATGCCTAGAGATACTTGCAACCCACATGGTGCCACATGAGCCAGCTGGGCTCCTGAGCAACACTAGCCTCTGTCCCCATGTGCTGCATCCCTTCGCAGCAGGGACTGTAGTGCAGATGGCCGCCGAGGGTCACCCCAGGTCCCCTGTGGCTGCCCACCCGAGAATGCTTATAAAAGCACTTTGCACAACTGTCCTTCCAGAGTTGCGTGGGGTACTGTAACCTCCCACTCATAACAGACTCTGCTATTAGGAAATCACAACTTGTTTGTATTACTTAAGAGCTGGTTCTAATTGTGTTTGCGCTGTGTTAGCCTGAGATGTCAGTGGTTAGTTTGCGGGCTGAAACTGTGCCAACTGAAATCTTATGCACAGCTGCCTCATCACCTCCCTTGTCCCTGGATCCCATGAGGAAGAGAGATATCAGCACAATAACAGGGTTTGTTACAAGGGACATCGCTTTCTGTCACATGCTGTTTGGTCTGACCTGTTGGTAGCATCCCAATAGGTGACTAAGACAAGTGCTGTTGACCAACTGGGAAAAAGAAGTTGCAATACATACCTTTCCATCAAACACCATTTCATACCCTTCTCTGTTCTTTATTTTATTGTATAGGTATTCTGCAAGTTCCAAGCACTTATCAATTTGTGCTTCAAACCCTGTGGTTCCCTTTAGAGACAAAGGAAGAAAAAAGTTATGTGACTATCCATTCTGTGAACCAAAGCAGCGAAAGGAGAAAAGAGCCTGCAGCACTTGCCAAAGCACCAGCAGAAGTCACCTCTGAAAAGTCTCTGTGGGACAGATAACAGGGCTGATTCTGTGAGACAGAGGATGCTGCTAAGCAGAGCTCGTTTGTCTCTCGCTATTGCCACTGACTCCCCTATAGCCACCTCCGCAAAATAAGCACTGGGTACTAGCTCAGTTCTCAGCAAAATATTGCAGCACCTCTGATGAAGGGTGCCCTTGTTGGTAGATTTTGCAGAGACGCTGAGCATGGCCTCGGACAGTCTGGACTGGCATAGAGGAGGGGCTCTAGAAGGTTTTGAGTTCCAGACATGGGGAGTCTCCTGCTATTTTTGGAATAGAGGATTTTAATCTTCCAGGGGTGATGTGCTGGGGGCTTTTCCAAGAATAACTTTTCTTTTTCAGTTAAACACAGAATGGGCACATACGTTTTTCGAGTCCGGCCTGATGCCTGTGAAAATGTACATTTTGTTTAGACACTGCCCTGCCTCTGTAGTGTTTTTCTCTATTCTTTTCTAACAGACACCATATAAACTCAGAAGCTGTGTTTTTAAGAGCTACAGCAAATCCTTCTTTTTCTTCTCAAGCAGAAATCATAATCCTCTCTCTGTGACATCATAATTGTTCCTGCAATCACCAGCTGTGATGCCACAAACAAAGGATCCAGCTTTATGAGGGAGGAAGGGGAATAAACAACTGGAACAGAAAATCTGTTTAAGGAACACACATCCTATTTGTAACCTTAATATTACAAGCAAGGTGTTGGAAGAGAAAAAGCAGTACAAGGCATATTGAAAAAATGTGGTTTAGAAGAAATGTCTCTGAGTAATGGATGCATGTCCTTGCTAAATCTTTTCTGGCAGTGCAGAACTGACTTAAAAGCCCATGTCATTATCCCCCCGTGTATAGAGATTTCAAAACAGGGCAGAACTATCACAGCCCTGGGAGAAAGGCTCGGAGTTAGAGAGAGGCATGTGGCTAAAACTGCCTGCCACTCTGGAGACCCCAGTTAGCACAACAGCTATTGCGACCACAGAAACTTGCATCCTCCTTTACAGACTCCCACACCTCCAGCTACATTTGATGTCTGTCTTGGAATTGTTTTCAGAGTTTAATGAAGCACATGAGGATCTTTAAAGCTTTCTGGAAATGAAAACAGTGATGTCATCTCCTCTGAACAAACCTGAGGCAACTTAACATAACAGATTGGATAAATATATGGAACAACTTATTTAGCAACATTCTACAAATACAGATGAATTAATCACTAGAACTGGTGTTTTCAGATTTCCCAGAGAACAGAGTTTGATGAATTTTCCTCTACTCCTTCAAAAGATGACTTTGTATCTACTGCATGCAATGAAACAAGCTATTCCAGTGTTGATTTGCCATGTTTAATTTCTGACTGTCATTAAAACATCTTTTATTTCCAGAAATCCTTGCAACAACATTCTTAGATATATGATTTATGCTGTTAGACTCCCACAGTTACAAAAAGCAAATGCTATGCAAAGCCACGGAGTTTAAGTTTCAAAATCATGTGTGCTGCTTTGAAGCTAAATTGCTAAAAAATATAAAAAAACACAGAAAACAATAATGTTCTTTCTTTCATGTTATATATGGGAAAGTCAGGTCAGATATTCTCTAAAATGATGATTGCAGAAAAAAACCCTGTATCTGGTGTGCATTATTCTAATGCAAACAAACATATTGCAGGCAGTCCTACCTTTGCCCTCCACATCAGCCATAGCTTGAAGACATCAACGTGCCGTCCACATTGCAACGCCTTGTCTCCCGTGTCGTAAGACAGGTCGTAGTGCTTGTCTTGTTGAAAGAGGTAGGAAGCATGCATTTGATTGCAACTCTGCATCAATCCCTTATAGAAACAAAGACACCAAAAAGTGACATTGGCACAGATGTGACTACTGTTTTGAGGGTTGCTTTGGGTGAGAAATTACAAACACCCAAATTCAGTGGAATATGTGTCCAAGTGGAAAAAGAAGTCGAAAAATAAGGGAAAAAATCCCGACTTAGTTGCTCAGTGGACTAAGGTTTTCACATCTCATTCAGTGCCCAGGTACTCTAGTACCTGACCCAGCCATGTGTAATCCACTCCCAGAGCCAAGGTTTTTTAAAAAAAGCTGGACGTTGTGCTTCCTAGCATCATTCTGCACAAGTTCGTTTTTGGATCTCATTTTTCTTTCCTTGTTCTGGTTCCTTTTCCCCCTTTCCCTGGAAGGCTTTTTTTTCTGGTTCAGTCAGACCAAGCCAATTTGGTGTCTAATCTAAATAATATCACATCACTTTTCTAATTGCTTTGGTCTCTGAAATTCTGATTTTCATTGTTTTCTTTCTTTCTGTCTTCTTCTGCAAAGCCCTCAGCTTCAGATTGGATGCTTCAGTGGTATAGAAAGCTTTGAACAGACAGAAGAGCATATGGCCTTTAAACAGTCAGCTAGAGTTATTTCTGGGTTGCAAGATACCATTTTGAGAGGCAGCTTTGTGGGAGGGCCAGAAGCCAACAAGGTGAAGAAACCCAGCTCATGAAAGCATGAGGTTTCCTTTTTAGCTTTTTAAGTGAAGTGCAGAGAGTCATGTTCTGGCTCCAGTTAAGTCCTCAACCAAGTTTAAGGCATGCTGTAGGGCTGTTGCCTAAAACTGCAATTTCCAGTCCAAGAAGAATCAAAACTTGGCTGTTTACCATCAAGTCTAATCTTTATATGTAATGCAAAGCTGAGATAGTAAAATGAGAGGGGAAAAAAATTGGCTTTCTCCTAATCTGAGCCATCTGTTCTCACTAGAGGTCAAAGATGGTACTGACTTCAACCAGGCAGGATTTGTCTCAGGGAACTGACCCAGAGGGCAAATAAAAGCCAGCTCCTCTCTTCCTGAGTGCAATCACTTTGTATACAATCTGTTGTACAGCTGTTAGCAAACAGCAACCAGCTTTTTGATAGCTGGTCTAGTAAGTGGTAGTTGTATAGCAGCTGTCCCAGTAACTGATGGCTATAAGAAAATTACAGGCTTGAAGGGTAATTCAAATTCTAGTACTAAACAAAATGTCTACTTTTTATTCCAAGTGAACTTAGTCTTCCCTTTTTATTTCCATGTGCCCCAAAGTGGATATATGTATCAGAGCTGGGCTGAAATATCACAAAAGTCCAGAAAGTGTAATGTTGCCTAGATTCTGGACCAAATGTCATGCTTCATATATAACATATTCTTCATTCTAAACTGACTAGAGTTTGCCTACAGTTACATTTTATGCTCTGCAGTAACTAGTGGGGTTACACAGTTATGCACCCACAATTTACCTATGGACACAAAACTCTGTAAAGACATTGCCATTAATTGCATCTATCATTTCTGCTAGACAGCTACTTTAATTCCTTTTGCAGTCACAGGCCAAGCATTTGACAAGAGGTCTATTTCTCAGTTTCGTTTCTAATTCTCATCTCATTAGCAAATATCAGCTATGACACAGTTATGAAGAAAACATCTAGGATTTTCAGAAGCAAAATGTCAGAAAGGATCAGAGAACCAAATATACCGAGACATACCTCTTCTCTTACTAGCAGGGCTGAACACTGCAGCGGGACGCCCATCATCTTGTGAGGGTTCCAGGTCACCGAATTGGCCCTGGGACAGCAAACCACATGAAACTCAGACATTGTACTATGGTGACGAAACCATAGAGACATTTAGTAATAATGGGAAAAATAATGAACATGTAGCAATGCAGACCTTTTTCTGAGCAAGCAAAGTTGAAAATAATAGTGGCTGGTATTAGGAAAGCAATGCCCTCATAAGGGACCACTCTAGTTGTTTTTTGGATGACAGTTCTGGCAACTTGCCACAGGATAATTGCTCTATCTACTAAATCAGTATTAAACTTCCTGGGGAGTCATCTATAAACATAGGGCAAACTTCCTAAAAACACCCACCTGACCAATGAAGTTTCTAAAGGCACACAGCTGATTAAGGTTGCAGATAGGAAGCTGGCAAACTAGCATATTCCCTCCTATTGATTCCAGTTTCAGTACGATTTTATTAAGTAGCTCACATAGGCATGTTTGAAAACTCCTTTAAATACTTCTGGGTACTTCCACGTCTCTGAGTAACTCGGAAAACCTGGTCCAAAGTAATTTTCCTCATTGCTCTGCTGACGGTAGATTTCCATAGCTCCTTAACTTTAGCTTGGCTATGGCAATTCACACAACTGGAGGATGGGGTCCAAAGTTACCACAGTAATAAACACAGAAGTGATCTATCCCGCCACAAAAGCGTCTGATCCTGCCTCCCTTCAGGACAATTTCACTGCAAAAACAGCTGTCAGCCCAGACCTTGTGAACAAACAGGACGCTGTCACAATCCAGCTTAGAAATGAGACGTTTGGGGCTGCGGCAAGGGCTGAATGGAACGTTGTCCAGTTGTTTATTATTTTAATTTTTTGTTATGCTTGAATGGCTATTTGTTAATTACTATTATTACATATGATGATTAGCTGATAGATGTATACATTTGTGTCCTGTTTGGCAGGCTGTCAAGGAACCATAGCGCACAGAATTTCATGTAGCGCAGTGAGCTGAGTTTTGATGATATAAATTGCTATAAATCAGTCAACTGGGGCATGTGAAAACTTAAAGGATTCTGGACACATTTGCAGGTAACACTTAGGTGAACAGAGATGAGCATGTTGGAATCGGGCAGTATTTTCCTTTGTAGGATTTGGAGATAGCGCTATAGGTTTACGCATATCCTTATAATTTCCTGCCAAATTGCTTCCATTCCTTCAGAGTAAGCAACTCCAAAATTCACATGGACACTGCACAACACTTCTGTGCTTTCTTCTTTGCTATTTAAATGGGACAGCACAAGTGCCTGATGCAAAAATCTGTAGGGAATAGTCTTCCACAGGCAACATCTGGTCGTTTGGCTTGGCTTTTCAAGTATTTGGCAGCTTTTAATCAGCTCAGAGTCAGTCATCTGATTACAACATCAAAGCTAATGATTCTGAACATGCATTCAGGTCTATGAATTTCCTTTGACATGATACTTTTAAATTTTTATCTGTGCCTATGCAGAATCAGGCAGAAATTTTTTAAGAGACTTATAGGTAATAGTAGTGGTATGGATTTTCTCAAGCAAAAGGATTATTTACTGGCAACAGCCAGGTGTTAATCATCTGCCTAAAACAATTTACCCTAAGGTAATTTATTTCCCCAATTACAACCCAATTGCACACAGAAAAAAAAAAGTAATTATGTGAAATAAAAATCCACCATTTTTCATTTCTTATCAGTTATTCTGGGCTTCAGCCATCAGTCTGTGCTTGAAGAAATTGCTGACTGAGAAAAACAGTGAAGGAAAAAAGCTACACAGATCCACAGATGTTTTATTAAAGCATCTCGTGTTTGCCCACATAACCGAGCACCAAGCACCTATGTAATTTTTTGGCTGTGAGTCACAGACAGAAAAAAAAAAAAAGAGGAAAAGTTTTCCTTTAGAGATTTCCAAGGGGCAACAGGAGAGATTCAAGACTGGTAGAATTTGGTCCTCAGCTATCATTAAAAAACACACTGAGGTGCATTCACTGACCAGCAGCAGCCCCGGGAAGGAAGCCCAGACCCTGTATGGGAGCGCTCATTCAGCTGCAAACATGCTTTTCTCACCTAGCTGTCATGCCCTGCCCCAGCCTCTGGGAGAGGGATGCCAGACTGATACTCCTGATGATGGCCAGACCTATCTGCTCCAGACACCACAGAGCATGCTTCCTGGTGCCTTGGAGCAGCCTGAAATCCACAATGTGGGGACTAGAAGGCACAGTAAGGATGGTCCTGCAACTCCTCCTGCCTTTGGCAGGACAGTTTTTGCTTGACTGCCTGTTACCAGAAGGATGGGAGTACTCAGAATACAGAGTGCTCCATTTAATGTTCCCTCCTTGAACCTTTCTCCTCTATCAAACATGAGTACCAGCCCCAGTTCTCTTCTATCTAGACCTGTAATGACTCGGTTGTACTCGGATATCTACCATAAAACAGGAATGTCCATAAAAGTTGGGTCTAGTAAGCCTGCTCTAAAGATACCCACACTTGAGATATGGACAAACTGCTGTGCCCATCAAGCAGTGGAACAGCACTGGAAATGACAAATTTCATTAGTTCATTGCCAAACAATGGTGCTTATCAAAGCACTAGATAAAATCCAGTGGAGTTCTGGATCTAAAACATATTATTTGGAAAATTTTTCAATATAGATTCAACCTGAACTTCTAATTCCAGCAGAATCTGGACAGAAATTTTGGAGGCAAACTCTTTTTTTCATACTCTGTCCTCACACGCAACTGGGTAGATTTTTCTAACTTGCTGGATATTTGGATGTCTGTCCTTTTAATACACAATACGTAAGTTTGGAGTGCTGGAGGCAGTCTTAACTTAACTAAATTGAATTCATAGAACTATTGGCTGTTCTCCAAATTTTGCATGTGAGATGTATGAGAAAGGAACTGAATCATCAAGGTATCCTCCTAATCTTCAGGAACAGGATGAGGAAGTTGTTTGTAATTTTAATTGGCAAGGAACAGCAATTCAATTTAGAGATAAAAAAGGTGGAAGGGAGTAATAATTTACTCTTGAACAGCATGAGATACAGAAAATACACAGATGTAAGAGTGACTCCATCTAGCCCTGTATACTGTCTCTAGCAAGTGGCCTAAATAGGTGCTTGGGAAGAACACAAAGCATGGCCAGCATACACTACCTTCCTCCAAACACTATCTGAACCTGTAGTCATTTGTGGCTCACAGAAGTCCCAAATGTTTTTTGTCTTCCCTTGAACGCAGGTAACATCCTCTGGCAAGGAGTTCTAAAACTAAAAGTATCTGAATAAGCAGCTGTTTGGAAGTTTAAGTTCAGTCTTTCCAGACTCTGAACTGGACCAGTATCACTTATGTACATCTGTGTCTATGTGCAACGTTCATGACTACAATTGTCTATATCCAGGCACAGATTTGCTGAGAAGTCTTTAACACAGCCTGGAGGGGGATATTCTTTCCAGAAGCGAGAGAGCAGAGGTCAGTGACTGCCAGGACACCTCTCCAAACTGCAGGTGCATCCACCTTTTATACTTAGACTTCAGCACACAAGACCTCCAGATTAATCTCTTAGAGAAATGCAATTGCTTGTTCATGTTGGACACTGTATCAGAAGATGCTGCAGAAACCACACTGGAGCTGCAAACATGCTGGAAGGAATGAAAACGCAGACAAGAAATGGCTGCGGTTTGCACTACAAAACAAAGTGCCACACTACTGTAGCACTGAACAAAGGCACTTAGCAATGCTATTTCAACTGGAAGGACAGTTTGTGTAATTTCTTCATATTGTATCTTGGGGATAACATTGGTTTTTGCTTTTATTTATAGGCATTGCTAAGACAATCACAAATGTGCTAAAATGCATTTAATAAATTTGTTTAATTAGCATTAATAAATCATACCTTTCAACGCCATTCAACTTCCATTTGTGTTTTCTTGACATCAGGAGCCCACCACCCCATGCTCCCTAGAAGGCAAGACACAGTATCTTAATGAGAATTCTGTATTTCTCCGTGATGACATCTGTGTGTTCACATCAGTTTGGGGCCTTTCTTTTTTCTTGCTGATGTGGCACATTTCAAAATGACCAGACAGACGGGGCCTGAGGCATTAGCTGTGCTAACAATTTTTTTCCAGTAGCTTGGAAGCAGCAGTTTATAGCCCATAATCTGCGTACCACCCCAGATTGTCTGCTCTTCCCTTCCTTGCTACCTCCTCTGACACTGACACATTGGGCTGCCCCATGCTATAATTAATTAATTAATTACTTAATTAATGGCTTGCAGAGCTGCTCCTGTGTAAGATGCCTTTTCTCTTTTAGTGGCTAAGTGATGACAACAAACTAGCCTGGGATCTCAGCTGCTCTAGTGAGTTTTCACCGTATTTTAGAACATTCCAACTCGTTCTACTCATTTGCTTTGGCTCACACAGATCTGGGGCGAGCAGACATTTCATCTGACTGAGAAGTAGCTTAAGGTAAATATGAACTCTTCCTTTGAATTGGAGTGATTTTGGCTGACACAGTAATCCAAAATCAAGATACCCAGCCCTAAGGCAATTCAATTACCAAGCTTTTTCGGAGAAAGGATTTGCAAAAATGACACAAAAGCTATTCTAGGACTGAAAGATGATCCTTCAGAAAGATTTATTGGCAAGAACCCAGATAAAGTTAAGTAGCCAATCCGATAAATTTCTCTAGCATTTACATTCATCTGTTCAGCAATGCAGGTACTTTACTCCAGACAAACGTAGCCTTTTCTCATGTATTTATTTTGCAGCTGCTGCAAAAGCTGAGCCAGTGCTCTCTTACTTATTTCTTGTACTAATTGCATTTAGAGATAAAGCTGAAGGCCAAAAAACATTTAAACTGGGTCATGTTAAGTGTCCCAGTTGCTAAAAGTACCACACAGTCACAGCTCCTAAAATGTCCCCTTGACCTGGCCTTTCAGAGTAATGGCGAATCCGTGTTTGGATGTCAGACTTAAATTACAGCTACCAAATACAACAGGTTTTGTACAACGCTGCCCAAAAATGAATAAATTAAGGCTAATACACCTTGCAATCCAAACCCCCCCCCCCCTTTATAAGATGACACTTACATCCACGTGCATCCAGATTTTGTATTTCTTGCAGATGTCTGCAATAGCTATGAGAGGGTCAAACGCCCCGTAAACCGTTGTCCCGGCGGTGGCACTCACCAGAAAAGGAACAAATCCCTGGAAGAAAGCACAGCGGCGCTTGGCAAGGTCAGCGTGCTACAGCCTCCTCGGCCCACAGCAGCCCCCACGAGCGTCTCCCAGCGGACACACCTGCTTCGTTACACTGGTTTCCTCTTAGTTTAGGTGCCAGTGACATTATCGTTTCTACCTTAAGGTGGCAGCAAACTTCCAAACCAGCATCCACCATTTACGAGGATGCGTGAGACGGGTTAAGGGCTCGGAGTAGCATTTCTGCCCCATGACACCTTCCTGGAACAGAAAGGTCTGCTCCGCATCATGCTGCGCGAAACAAACCTCACCCAGGCACCACACTGCAAGGAGCGATCTCTGGAGGACTGTGCCCTGGGCTGTGGTATAATTATCCCAGTCAGTGTCTGCACGTGTGGTGGCCCAGTCCTGCCGGTGAGAGCTTCTCGTTTGGGGGTGGCGTCTGGGGGTGTCTCCTGGGGGCAATGCACAGGGGAGGTGTGGAGCTCCATCCCTCGTGCAGAGCGAGGAGACAGGGACCACCTCTTGGATTCCTTCTGCTAAATGCTGTGCCTCACCGAGGAGCACTCACTGTCCGTCACACACCATAATTAATATCAGTGCTTCATTTTAAATTCATTTGTTGTTCTGTTGATTTCATAAGCAGTACTCAGAGCTACATTTTTTTGCAGAGCTGGGGTTTAAACTATCAAAAAGTTCTAAACTTCCCTCTGCAAAGTGAAACACCTGGTCCGTAGGCTCAAGTGGTACTCTATCGCCATATCATCTTTCATTTTTATCTACTGTAGTGGTTTTCTTAGACAAAGTAAACTTTTAATGACAATTTGTGTTACTAATGAGCTTTGAATGCTGTGTTTCTAATGATTATTTACACAAATGTTGTTGAAGGCACAGGGCTAAGTTCATTGCATGCTGTTGTTTTAATTGCAGCTTCTTTTAATGAACACATACAAAAGCAGCGCATTTTGAGAGATGTGTGGATCTTAGTTTATCTTCCACTGTTTTGATGACAATGAGGAATACTTTCAACGTGTTAAAACATACACAAATTACCCAAATGATTACTCTGTTTTTGCCAATGCATCATAGGCTGATAATACAAAAAGGAGGATATTATGCAGAGCAATACACAAAAAAATCCAAACAGCTCATGGAGAAAATAAAGTAGCTCTAAACCTATTTTCTCAGCAACTCTTGCCTCACTAATTGCCAGGGTACACTTCTGAGAAATAAACCAAAAGTTAATGGGCAATTCTATGTGGTTTTACCAAAGGCAGCAGAAAAACTAGTTAGTTGCATCGTTCTTGGGGTTTTTTTTGGTGTTTTTTTTGTTTTGTTTTGTTTTTTTTCTTTTTGGGAAGCAGAAAAACTAGTAAACTTACTTTTTGTTTGGCTTCAAGAATTCTTCTTTCAAGGTCTGATGGGATCATTTTCCCTCTGGAGCAAGAGAGAGTTATATCAGAAATTTGATCTTGAAATCAGCTCTTGCTGTTACTCCTTCACATAAAAGGAAACCCAAATAAGGAACAAAGTGACTTTTTTGCCCAAGGCTTAGGCAGCATTGAAGAGCACAGAAAGACTCTGGACCATTAGTCTGAGTTTTTACCCTAATTATTTTGTCAACCAGTTTGCATCAATATGGTGATGGTAACTGAGAGAAGTTATCTCATGGTCACCCTCATTAAAGACCGATGCTGCTCCATAGAGCCTCCTAGTCCTGTCTGACGTCACAGCTCCGGGAATATGCTCCAGGCTCACAGGGAGAGGCTCAGCCCAGGGTCCCAAAGAAGCTTTCTGGGTGCCAAACCCCTTTCAGCAGGCACAAAAAACACCAGCTGAGCTGCATGGCCTTGAGCAGCGCGACTCAGCTCTGGTGTAAGCGGTTGTTTCTGTGTTTCCATCTCTGGGGACTATTCCAGAATTTGGTGTGGAATAACATGTTCTCATTTGCTTGAAGGAGAATATGAGAAGAAGTTACCCGTCTGGACACATTAAATGCACTGTCAGGCCCTTTGTATTAACTGTATACTCTATTTGCAACACCTTTAGTATGAATCATTCACCTGAGATTCAGACTCACTGGTATAAGGCTTGAAGGCTAATTTATGAAATCCTGTAAACGAATTAGGTGCAAGATAAAGCAGTGCCAATACTTAATATCAAGGTTACAGTTTTCTTTGCTTTAGCCACAAGCAAGACTATCTAAGAAGAGACAGTGCACATAACAGCAATACAAATATGCCAGCTCCCCCACACGACAGGAAAAAGGTCTTTACTGGCTTTGAATGTTGTCCATTTAGATTACTACTCTTTTTTAAAGACTTCTTCAGTTCTCAGTACAGTTAAACACATTTTTTCTTTCACTAATCACCGATTTGCCATCACTATAAAAAAAGAACAACCTTTACTAAAGCTCAAAATAGAAGCTTCAGGGAAAAAAATAACACCATTAGTTTTAGTCTGGATTTTGCATAAAAAATTAGAAGTGTTTTTATGACATTTGGATGGGTGTAAATAAAAATTATTAATTTCTTGTAATAAGATACTGTCAGGTTTTTTAAGTTTTCATCCTTACACAGTTCACAATAAGACAGTAATTATTTCAGTAGAAACAGGTTCATACTGCTCAGTTTTTTGCAAAATCTGTCCTGCATTTTACTTATTCAAAACACTAGAAGAATAACTGAAAATAAAAAGCTCTACAAGTCTAAAAATTAGCCCTGACTTTTCTTCCAGAATTTCACAATCTAAAGAGTATCTAACTCATGATGGGTTCCATGTACATGTTCAGAAAAAAGCTGTAGTTGTCTTTTCTTCAAAAACTGTTTCTGGGATCATTAGAGGAATGAAGGAAAAAAAAAAACATGCGAAAGGAAGTCAATGCATTCTTCCTTCAAACACAGTTTAGATGTTGGTCTTCAATGGTTTCTAATTTATTGAGCTTGTGCATAGAAACACACACAAAGCTCAGCAGAACCCTTCATTGCCAACATTTTTTTACCAAGACAAGTGATTATCCAGCCCCTGGTCATGTTGAGTACGTGCACGAATTCATGGCCAGGAGAGTGGGACGTCCGAGCAACACCAAGCTTTACCAAGGAGCAAGGAGTGAGTTGGCTTAAACGCATTGCAAAACAATAGGCTTGTCCTTAGACAAATCTCACCCAGATAACATGGCAGGGGTTTACATGCGATGTCCTAGCAGCATCAGGGCAGGAGGGCTACCGGGGGAGGCAGAAGAGGCCCAGTGGCAAAAGGCCACTGAGGATAGAACGAGTGTTAGTGTCAAAATCTTCTCATGTTACTCACGTCTGTATAAAGTCTTCACTGCTGTCACACCAGACTGAAGTGTTACGACCCCAAACCTGCAGGTAAGACCTATTGCTACCAATATATCTGTGTGGTAGTAAAAGAGGCAAGGGAAATGTGTGGTCATCCAGTCTCAGGCATGATCATGAACATGATTTTCATGTTTTCCTGGCTTGAAATTCACCACACGTTTACATAGTCCCATGACACAGCAAAACCAGGCAAACTTGGTGGGTGTGGATCAGCATGGGAAAGGGAGAAGTCACCAAGAAGTGTGCTTCGTCATGCTGTAAACATCAAAAAGATCTCATGGTGACCCCTCATGCTCCCACAGGTCCACATCTTCAGAGGGTCCTCTCCACCACACCAACCCACATCCTGTGCAAACAGCTTGCTTTGTCCTGGTGACATCTGCTGGGATTTGGTGAAACATACAGCGATTGTTAACTTCACGGTGGGCAGGGTAAGTATTGAGGTCTTCACAGAAAATCATCACGCTGAATTTGCAGGAAGGAAGACACGACATCATTGATCCACCTCTGTCTTTAGCGAACAGAAACAATCGGAGGTTTATTTTGACGTGTTGGTTGGGTTGATGTTGTCATTAATTTCTCTTCAAGGAGTGCTCAGTCAATAAAGAGATAATAAATCCATAAGTCAATATGCAGGCGCTGTAATTAGCACCGTAAATTGCTTAGTTGGTGCTCTTCTTTTAATGAGGGAGCAGAGTATTTTGATAGCAGTAAAACCTTCCATTTACACTAGAGCCATCAAAAAATCAATGCCTTGTAACAATCTGATATTTGAGACTCATAGTGAGAGCATTTTCTACTGAAAAGATTCTCAGTAGAATCAATAAGGACTGTTCTATTAATTTTTGTCCCATAGAAAGGTTTTTTTTTCCCCTAAAATTGAAAATCTTCATTGGAACATGTTGATTTCATTAATATATCTTCGTTTTCTCAAAATGGGTTTTCACAGAGGATCAAAACCTTTTAGTCGGGTGAGTTAAACAAGGAGTTACCTACAACTGGTTTTGTAGTGCTTACGGACTTGTAGGTTAGGTGCCTGCTGTGCTACTCCTTTTCATGGGTCATCCCTCTCCCTGGCCTACACTGCCCAGAATGCTGTCAAGACCTTCTCTGCACATCCCATTGCAAGGCTGTCTCTATCAAGGGCACTGTGGGAATGCCGTCCAGCTGAGAAGGATGGGGGGGGGCATGAAGTAATAGAATTACACCAGCAAATGTGCCTCAATATTTTATTCCTCTAAATGGCACATTTCAGCTCATTTTAATGGATCAAAATGTGAGAGTATCTAAATACTCCATTTTGACCAAAACAAGCTGTTGCTTCACTTCCTAACAGAATGTGTAAAGAATGATTGTTAGTTTGACTTTTTGTTTCACTTCAAGATGAAAGAAAAAGAAATATCAGAAATCCTTGAGGAAGGGAACTTTAAGATTTCTAATCGGCTCCAAAAACTGACTCGTAAAGAAGCTACTGATAGGTCAGTTCTACAAGTGGGACAAATCAGTGCAAGGTTGCTGGAGATGACAGCACTACGATGAATTGTAGCAACTGTTGACTGCATCCTATATGATCTGAGCTGAGCACTTGATGATCCTCTTCTATGTAGCAAAAAAAAGCTCTATTTGAAATCTTTGCTTACCTTTCATCACATCTAATCAGAATCACACTATCTGTACCAATACCCAAGGCTGCAGCTCCTTTCTTCACAGAGAAGTGACTCTGAAAAAAATACATTTATTATCATTTACTATTTTTACTATTATTTCTTATCTGTTATATAAACACTACACTCTTGCAAGTCCTTCAGCAAGTAGTCCCACATAGGCAATAATTCTATTCATAGACTTTTTGGAAACTGATCACTGTAATTATGTCACTACAGTCAATACCTGCAGCTTCTATTGCTTGTACAGATTCGCCTATGAACTTGTTTCACTGAAACAAAAAATTCTCCCCTAGATAATTTGTTTAGTTCGTGGCATTCAGAGTGATGTGCTTCTGCTATGTAACTTCTGGCCAAAAAATATACTGAGAGAAATTAAAATAGGAAGCCTAATTGTGATCTCATGCCAGTGAAAGCTAGTAATAACTCCCACTAATAAACACAGTTATTGCACTTTAAAATCAGAACTGGGCTATTAGCAAGACTATTTATTCTGTATGTACAGAATAAAAAGTGAAAGTTTTATACTGGAGTGCAAGTCAGCCTAATTTTCTCTAGCTCATACGACAACTCCTGAGCCAGTGTTGGTTTGTAATTCTAATTTAAATCCTAGTGATTATGATAATGAAGTAGTTTTATATCAAATTATACCACCAAGAATCTGATTTTTCTTAACTCAAACACAGCTGTAACAATATTGTCCAAAGTAATTTTATCTACAGATTATTAAACTTTAAAATAATTGAAATTCTTTGCATATACTACAATACCATTAGCTCAGGATGTAACACTATAGAAAGGATCAAAGAGATAAAAATCTAACAGGGTTTTTTAGGTGTCTAAGATGTTAGAAAAGAAAGGAAGGCATACAGTCTGCAGGAGCAGAGCAGCAGACCACAAAGCAGAGAAGTAATCACTATTGCTTTGTCAAGTGAGTATTTGGCTTCAACTGCAGTGAGAGCAGTAGAGCTACAGAGGAAGAGACGGACACGACGGTTACACACATCTGCTTCACTCGTAGGCCGTGAAGTCAGTGGGATTTCAATGCATACCTAAGGGCTCCCATCGTAATGAACATTTTCAGAAATGAAAATCAATTCTAAATCAACTTTATGAAACAGAGAGGAAGAGGAGTTGCACTGCAACCTGTATCTTCACTTTACTAAGTTAAAAATCCCCATTTTAAAATGGGGGTTAATTATTGTTAACAGTCCTGACTACTGTGGTCGAGGCTGCATAAGAGTTTCTGCTCCAAACTCCTTTTTTCATATGCTGCTATCAGAAATAGTGTGTCCAGCAGGACTAGGGAAGTGATCATCGCCCTGAACTTGGCACTCTTGAGGCCACACCTCAAATATCGTGTTCAGTTTTGGGCCCCTCACTACAAGAAAGACATAGAGGTGCTGGAGCGTGTCCAAAATAGGGCAAAGAGGCTGGTGAAGGGTCCAGAGCACAAGCGTTACGAGGAGCAGCTGAGGGAACTGGGGTTGTTCAGTCTGGAGAAAAAGACGCTCAGGGGAGATCTTATTGTTCTTTACAACTACTTGAAATAAGGTTGTATTGAGGTGGATGTCAGCCTCTTCTCCCAAGTAACAAGTGACAGGACAAGAGGAAACGGCCTCAAGTTGCACCAGGGAAGGTTTAGATTGGATATCAGGAAAAATTTCTTCACTGAAAGGTTTATCAAGTACTGACACAGGCTGCCCGGGCAAGTGGTGGAGTACCTGTCCCTGGAGGTATTTAAAAGACATGTAGATGTGATGCTTAAGGACATGGTTTAGTGGTGGACTTGGCAGTGCTGGATTAATGGTTGGACTTGATGATCTTATAGGTCTTTTCAAACCTAAGCGATTCTATGGTCTCACCATTTCGTCTGAAATGCCTCAAGTTTTCATGATGCCCATAGAGTTTTTCAATGCTCAGACATTTTGAAGAAGTTCAGATTGTTCTTGAACCATGATTCACTGATGACATACGGGCAATCTGAAAGTACTTTTTCAGGTGTATTTATTCAGATGAATGGTATTTTTCATACGACATTATTTTTTTTTAATGCAGTGGGTTGGTATAGCTTTCCCCCAAGGAGCATTGCTGCAGTATACCAACAACGTGTATTGAGCAGCCACAGACCACCTTGTCTAGACCTAAAATCAGTTTTTAAGGCCCTAGTACAACAAACCATCCTAGCCCTGAGTTGCACATTCTGAAATGTAAACATAGGCATGTCGGACTGGCTTTTGCACAAGCTGATGATCAAAGGAAATGCCTACCCATGCACTTAGATGAGCAACAAGGGATTTGTGCCCGTGCTTCAGTGTTTTGCTGAATCAGAATGGGTTCATCTCAGCTGGCCTAACCAGGCTTAAGTCATCACGTAGGGTGTCTCTGAAGTCTAGGGGGCAGACAGGCATGTCCAGGGAAGGATTCATCCAGCGTGAGGTTTGCTGGTTTGGAGTGGGTGCTGAATGACATCAGGTGAAGAGATTTCTACCCCTTCGCTATGGACCAAGCCCTATGATACCTGCTGTCTGTGAAAGTGTACAGCACCACCAGGCACCAGTGCTCTGGAAACTGGTAGATAATTGATTTTAACACACTGTTACTGTCTAGCCTATTAAAACCACAGGTTACTGATAGGCTCAGATTAGATACGGTGTTTGCCCTATTGTGTTTCTAGCTGGAGTCACAAAGTTTTAGAAAGTATTTACAGGTTGAACATCATGGGCCTGCTCAGCATTACACTGATATTTCTCACAGCACATTCTTTCCTTATTTCATGAAACCAAATTCTTGAACACATTTCCACGAGTTTCATCATCTTCACTATAATCAGTGGACTTTTCCCCAGTACAAATGCACTGTAGATTAAGGCTTGGACTGTGACCAATCCACAAACCTCTATACATGGAAGATACAGAAATCTCTTCCCAGCCTCGCAGTTACCCCTGAGGGCCACGGTGCAGCAGTGCAACTTTATGAGAGCAGGGAGGAGGAGAGGCCATAAGACGCTACCAGCATCAGGAGGCTTACAGAAAATTCCCAAGTTTAGGAAGATATCTTTGAACTTTGCAAAAATTGAAACAGAGCTATAATATTGCCAGCATAATGACAGTTCATTGATATGCTATGTGAATCTAGACTTTAATTTATATACTTAAAAAAATTAATCCGTTCTTTATTCATGTATTATACAAACTCGTGCTCCTACTGGGTAGTGTAACATCTAAATGCAGGTAGAGATGTAGGAGCGAAGAGTTACAGATATATTTCACTGGGTTTTGAGTAAATGACATTACATTGATAAATTTTGCTCCTTATTCCATACTAGTTAAAACAGATTTACTATTGTAATTTGTAACAATAGAAAATAGAACTATTCAAAGTGCCTTAAAAACAAAAATATAGATTTGAATGGTTTACTATGAGAAAGAAAATTGAGCCCATGTGCTCAAAGGCATTCACTGGAAGATGGCCAAGCTCAGCTGCCTCATTGAGAAGTCTCATGGCACAGCTAAAACAGCATTGGGGAAAAAATGAATGTAGTGCTGATAGCTCAGTTGCCTGAAGGTTTTTTACAGACTGAAAGGAATTCAGTGGTCAGGAACCAAAGCAGGTTTAGGGATAAATTGGGAAGAAATACAGAGGTCTGTGCACAGAAGGGCAAATGCAATTACAATTTCTAAACAGACTTTGAATATGAAATTGCTCAATCTGTGTACACAGTCACAGATATATGACTGCCCTTATGTTTTTATGTCTCAGGGTAACATCAGAGGAATTACTCCAAGTGCCTGAGAGGCTCTAAAAGAGCCAGGAGAAAAGTGAAAATAGAAAAAATATAGTTTCAAGAGCAAAGAAAACTTTCCTAATGATGATGAATATTAAACTTTGTTTTAATATTCCTGGGATGATGCTGAAAATTTGGTGGCCTGTGTAATATAAAGACAAACAGAGAAAAATATAAAGGTCAAAGAGGAGGAAATGTGTGCAGAAATAAGCCCAGTTAGACACAACTACTGATAGATTCAGCTGGACTAAAGGGGAAGAAGGACATTAATTGTGACACCTTTGGAAATACGGGGGCTACAGACTGTTCGACCATGGAATGAAATGAGCTTGAATGCCATCTTTCATGACACAGCCATGTAGGAGTTACGCAGATCTGAAATCTTATGGTGGGAGAACCGGAGTCAAAAAGGGAGGACAGAGGCAGACTGCCTGATGCCAGTCCTGAAGGAAAATCCAGGCTAGGAGAAGCTGGCGGGACCAGAGTTTCGCCACTGTCCTGTGCTTGCCAGAGACACAAGGATATGTGGGTGGGAGTGGGCTGTCACTGCGGCTTCCTCCCTCCCTCCCTGCCTCCCTTCATGAGGTGCTGCACTGCGAAAGGGTGCACAGAAGACTACAAATACATCCCCGATAGAGAGGAACCTCAATTTGTCTCTGAAAAGAAATGTGGTTAAAATTCAATGGTGAAGGGGAAGGCATAGGGCATTAGTCAGTATTAGTGACAAAAGCACAATATTAGTCAGGAAGAAAAACCTGGTGATCTTGAGCCAGGGAATCTTCCCTTTGTCGAAAATTTCAGATGCTGTTAGGAATACGTCTGTTTGCCTGATAGCCATTTTTTCATAGTAAGTTTTATAAAGTAAAAACACATTGTAAATTTATTACAGGTGGAATAATGAATTGGCCTTTAAGAAAAAGGAAGAATTAGAATAATTAAAAATGTTACTATGCTGAAAAGCATGGCATTGTTATCTTAAATGAACAGTGCTTCAACATACAGATGCTTCTATTTTTATAGCTTGCTAAATTAATTGCTCATAATCCGGCATGGCTGAAGCTGTCAAGAAGAACCATCCTAATGCCATGAGCCCCAAAGGCCACAGCTGGTTTTTCAGATTGCTGTTTCTCCCTGCTCACGTAAATCCAGAGTGACACAAGCTTTGTGGGAGGAGCACATCAGGAGTGAGTTCCCAAATGCTGAGCAAGCTCAGCCATCCAGCAGCCAAAACCTCTCCGAGGTCTGCAGGTTTGGCCACTGGTACCCCAA